TGTACATCCATAACAATTTCCTTCGAGTAACTGTTCTAGAAATGAAATTCCTGAGTCAAAAGGCGTGTGTATTTTTGAGGCTTTGGTACACATTGTTTAAATCCCCTTAAGAAATGTCCTCTTTCACTGTGTATAAGAGAGCTTAATATTCCCATTCCTACTTTCACTGTCAATTTTACAAATCCTTATCAACTATATAGGTAGAAAATTCCATCTCATCATTTTAATTTGCATTTCTTTGATAAATGCCAAGGTTGAACATTTTCTTATATGTTATTTGTTGATCATATTTCTTCAGTTTTATCCTTCTGTTCTTTGCTCATTTTCTATTAGAATCAGCTTTCTTATTAATTTATACAAACTCTTAATAAACTAGCTAAGTTAAACTCTCTGTTGTATATGTTGTAAATACTGCCCTGGCTTATCCTTTGTCTTTGAGGATAGTTCAGAATGTCTCCTGACGAAAAGGAATTTTCAGGATTTACATTGTCAAATACACTTTCTTCCTTTATAATTTTTGCCACCAGAAATTAACAAGGCCTTTATTCCAAGATCATTTAATATTTACTTGTATTTTCCTCCATGTCATTTGCTATAGTGTGTGATATTTCTTCAAAGTCTGCCACAAGGGGGACTTGGCCATGGCCTTCAGAAAAACAACAGTGGAGACTCATTAAATGCAGACTGGTCATTTGGTGAAAGCATCAAGAGTGTCCTAGAAAGGGGAAGAGAGAGATCTTATATGTTTTTCTTTACCATTTCCTTATACTGCGTCCAGTGGCTCTGTTAACTTGCTCTTTCAATGAAAGAAGTTTAAAATGGAAAAAGGTTTTACGTTAGGTTTATATTTACATATTAAACCTGTGGGATGTGATACCTCTCTTCACCTTGGCCAGGACAGAAGTTTCGGAGGGCAAAGACCTTTGTTTTGTTCAATGATGTATTGTAAGCACAGTGCATGGTACATAACATGCACTTGACAAATATGTGTTGGAGGAGCTGATCTTTAATCAAGTAATGTGTATGCCATGTATTAGGTAAGAGAGTCAGGGATAATGAGTTTTGGGCTTCACTGCTTTGCAAAGTAAACACCAAAAACCAACAACAGCAAAACCTCTAAATGAAAGGCAGAAACTAAATTTCACTTCTACTTTTTAGTTGACTATGGCCATAGTGATCTGAGTGTAAAGGTGAAAGTGCCTTAAGCCTGTCACAGTAGAATATGGTGCCGAATAATGGAAAATAATCAGAGGAAAAAATTCTATCAGGCAGGTATTAAGCAAAACCGGCATCCACCCACCAAGAGAGATTAGACACTACTCCATATGATGCTATAGCATTTGTCCACAGCAATACAATCAGATTTGGCTTTATTTGAACATTACAAGAAGGAAACAGTTCTCGAGAAGATTCATTTCACTGTGGGGAGAGAAAGGGAAGCATTCTGTGTAATAATAGAAAAATCATTTATTTTTCAATCAGATGGAGTGTCCTCATGAAATCGAGGCAGAGAACGGCATGTGATATGCCTTCAGGAAAATGATGACTATGAGGGAAAGGGTTTAGAATCATAATT